ACTTTAAGACTTGTGGACTTCAACTCCCAGAATTCCTCAGCCAATCTTGGCCACTTTAAGACTTGTGGACTGCAACTCCCAGAATTCCTCAGCCAACCTTGGCCACTTTAAGACTTGTGGACTTCAACTCCCAGAATTCCTCAGCCAACCTTGGCTACTTTAAGACTTGTGGACTTTAACTCCCAGGATTCCTCAGCCAGCAAAGCTTTAAGATTTGTGGACTTCCCAGAATTCCTCCTCCAGTCATGTTAGCACAGAAATTCTGGGAGTTGAAGTCCACAAGTCTTAAACTTGCCAAGGTTGAAGACCCTTGGATTAGACAGACAGACAGACAGAGATGGAGATAGAAGATAGATACTGGAGACCAGAGGTCTTCAAACTTGACAGCTTTAAGACTTGTGGACTTCCACTCCTAGAATTCCTCCTCCAGTCATGTTAACTCAGGAATTCTGGGAGTTGAAGTCCACCAGTCTTAAAGTTGCCAAATTTGGGGACCCCTGGTATAGGGTCTCTTGCCTTGAACAGGATGTTGGACTAGAAGTCATCCAAGGCCCCTTCCAGCGCTAGGACTCTATGATTTTATAAGCGGAACTTAGGAAGTGCAAGTGAGATTTGTCCTGACTTTTTAGCAGCTACCTTGATAGATGTCCTGGAGGGATCCTCCTGCGCAGAATTCCATGCAAATCCACAGCTTCTTAAACCTGAAGGAAGGAGAGAAAGAGGGTTCGTGTGGAAGGAAGCTGAGAATGGGGGAAAGGAGGAGGAAGAATCAGGGCCAGCTATCCAGGTTGCCCAGGAGCGTATCAACTCATCAAATACTTCTATGGTCTTTTAGAGTTGCCGACAGAAAGGGAGCAGTGCGGCAGCTTGCAAACCGAAAGCGCATTCCATACATAGTTTTCAAAGATAGTAACTAGGTGACCGAAGTTTTCTGCCGTGCACAATTCTAACTGAAGAGCATGATTGATGACTCTGGGCTATGGAGGTGTCCCATTGGAGAATATGAATTATGATACACCCAGGGGGGTGGGGGGAAACCAGAGTCAAGGGTGACAATGCATGACGTGTCTCAGAGTCCGCTACACCCAGGCGGTGCTGGCATGTTAACTCCCAATAAATCCTTTTGAATTTTTGGAAATTTGGCTTGAGACTCAGGATTTAAATGGGGTTGACAGAGCGCTTTCTAATCGTAGCCATAACACTTAAACGCCACTTCACGGTGCTTTGCAGCCCCCTCTAGGAGGTTTACAGAGTCAGCCTCTTGCCCCCCCAACAATCCGGGTCCTTATTTTACCAACCTCGGAAGAGCGGAAGGCTGAGTTCAACCTTGAGCCAGTGAGAATCGAACTGCTGACAGTCGGCAGAATGAGCCTGAATGTAATGCTGCATTCTAGCCACTGCGTCACCACGGCTCTTTCATACACCCGTTTCGCAACCCACCCACACCACCCTTTCTCAAGGCAGGGAAACAATTTGCAAGAGAACCGTCCCATCTTCAGAGAAAGATCGCTCACCGGATGTAACTCCCGTAGTACGCGACGATGTTCGGATGTTTGCAGGTTTTCACCATCACGATCTCTTGTTGGATAGCCACGCAATCATCATCTGGGCAAAAAGAAGAAGAAGAGAAACAGGCATTTTAGGGTTTTAGGAGAGAAGGGAAACAGGCTCTCCCTCCTAGCACTGATGATGTTACCTAGTTGGGTCATGAGACGTCTGCAAGGAAACAAACAAGCTCAGAGAGCACCAAGGACCCAACAGTTCTCCTCCTCCTCCTCCTCCTCCTCCTCCTCCTCCTCCTCCTCCACTCTTCCTTTCTGCAAACATCCCTCCCTTCCAGCACTGATGATGTTAGCTAGTTGGGTCATGAGATGTCTGCAAGGAAACAAGCAAGCTCAGAGAGCACCAAGGACCCTGCAGTCCTCCTCCTCCTCCTCCTCCTCTCTGAAAACCTCCCTCCCTTCTAGCACTGATGATGTTAGCTAGCTGGGTCATGAGATGTCTGCAAGGAAACAAGCAAGCTCAGAGACCACCAAGGACCCGTCATGTTGATCCCGAGCTACAGATATTCTCCTTTCTTGAAACAACTGGATCTGAGCTTTCTAGATGTTCCAGGGCTTCGACAGCCAACATCTCCACTACTACGTTGCTGAGTTACAGGCAGTCCTCGACTGATGATCACAATTGAGCCCCCGATTTTTGTTGTCCAGCAAAGGCAGTTGTTAAGTGAGCTTTGCCCCCACTTTATGACCTCTTTTGCCGCCATTGTTAAGGCAAATCACTGCAGTGGTGAAGCGAATTGTGCAGTCGTTCAGCGAATCTGGCTTCCCACATTATCTTTGCTTGCTGGAAGCCGGCTGGGAAGGTTACACATGGCTAGCTGGGGAATATGGGAGTTGCAGTCACCAAGGTTGGGAAACCCTGGCTTAATTTTTGTCCTTGCTCACCTGCTTCCATTTTGACAATTTTGATGGCAGACAGTTTTCCCGACTCTCTCTTCCTTGCCTGAGAAGATGACAGTGACACCAAAGTTAATAAAAAAAAGTTTATTTTTGATTTTGAATTTTAGCGGCAGGAGGCAGAAATTCTATTTAAATCAAGCAAATGGAATTACAAAAGGTATAACGACCCCCTTGGCTCCGGAGCAGAGTTCTAATTCTGCACTTACTCCATCTTGGCTGGTTTGATGTGTTTCTACCATCATTTTTTTTTTTTTTTGGTTTAACTCTTGGCTTTCTCTGACATTTCCCAGTTTGGAAGGGAAAGTGAGAAAGAGGAAGCCAGAAGCGGAGCTGAAAACGTTTTGTGTATTGCTGGCAGAGGATACAGCTGCTGCCCTCAGCTAGTTTTCTGTGTGTGTGTGTGTGTGTGATTATTATTATTATTTTCATCCACATTTTGTGCTGTTAAAGCAATATTTTTATGTTTTGTAGGCAGCATTGGGGGTGGGGGTCATTGTGGCAAGGCCAACATGAGATTGCTCAATCTTTCCTTCTTGGGAAAACAGAGACGTGAGAAACCGGCTGAGGACAAAACATGAGATTTTTTTTTTTTTTGCAAAAACAGAGTGGAACAGATCAAGGATTTTAGCCCCTTGCTGGGCTAAACGGTTGAGGGAGGGGGATGTGTTCAAGCATGGGTATTAATTCAGTTGTGAGGGGTATGACTAACAGAAAGGAAACATCCTTTTCTTGTAGGGATTATTCAAGAAGAAGAAGAAGAAGAAAAATACGGCATAATTATGTACATCTGGCCAAACTGCGAGGCTTTGTTTGATTACAGGGGTATTAAAAAACACAAGTCAATAAAAAAACAAAAGAAAGTTGTAGTAGCAAACAGGAAACTTCATCTGGGGCTGCCAGACAGCCATCTGTGCAGCTTTGAGGAGTCTTTACACAGAAGCCTAAATTGCAGCAATTAAAACTCAAATTAATGCAGGGTTGTACGGGTGCAAGGCTTTCATTGGTAAGCCAAGGGATCAAATAATATCTCTTTGGCATGTAGGACGATGCTGTACAGAGATGTGTTTCAACCTTGGCATTTTGAAGATTGTGGACTTCAACTCCCAGAATTCCCCGTCGCCAGCCAGACTGCTGGGGATTTCTGGGAGTTGAAGCCCACGTATATTAAAGTTGCTAAGGTTGAGAGAGACACTGTTAAAACAGAAAGTTAGACTGATTCGATTCCAAATGTCGCTCAGGGTATTGTAAATTAACATGCTTTTAAACAGCAACAGCTCACTTTTAAACCAATTCTGTTCTAGTCGATCTGGTGATTGGAACTGACCTAATCAGTATGAGCATTCGAATTAAATCAAATAAAATAAAACAACAGACTCTGATGAAAACATGAGAGATATTCTTACATTCCCTAAGGAGACCCATACAAAGCCCAAATCCAGGGACCACCTGCCCTTATGGCTATTTCCAATATGTTTAGGACAAAAAGAGAGGGAGGGAGGGAGGGAAGGAAAGAGAGAGAGAGAGAGAGAGAGAGAGCGCAAAACAATCAGGAATAACGTAAGAGCAATTTTTTCGACTACCACATTTTATTCATTTTGCAGGCCTGTGCCATTTTAGTTAAATTAATTATTAGCCTTTAATAAAATGATTTAATGCAATTTGTGAAGGAGCTACCAAAATCTTCTACCTTTTAAAAACAGGTTAGTTGCAGGAATTTTTTTTTTTGCAAACGATTAGTCTTGGCTGGGATTCAGTCACACCGTCCCATACCTTCTTGCTCACATAAAGCTGATTAAATGATAGAATTTGCAGCCACGAATGGACTTGGGACCAGTGATGGGAATCAAAAAAAAAAAAAAAGTCCACTCTTCTGTACTTTTATGCCTGCTTCCACCCCAAACAATTATAGTACATTTATTGCTAAACCATCAGATTAACCTTCCTTATGGGTTTTAACTAAGATGCAACCATGATTTTAATGCATTGCAAGCAGTTGGAAATGCATGGTACATATTTATTAGACTATTAGATTAATAAGATCAGTTTCCCCTACCGTATATCATGTGGCCCAAAGTTCCACAGACTAATATTAACTTTTTTTTTCTTTTTAAAAATCCTTTGCCTTTTCTTGGAAGCCTGATCTATATTTGTTGCATTTGTTAAATGATGTCCAGGAACAAAACCATTTAAGCCACAATCACCACTCCCCAGCTGGAAAAAAAGGTGCCCGGGCAGCACTCGAACCCAAACCCCCATGCAGGACAAGTGAGGTTACCTTATAGACTTCCCCATAGGTCCCTCCGCCAACACGCTGCAAAAGTTCAAAGTCCTCTTGAGGGTTTCGGGTGGAAATCTCCAGTTGAGCTGCTCTTTCTTGAACATCCATTGTTCAGGGTTTCCCCGCTTGTGCAGGCAGAGTATATAAACTCTGCACGCGTGTAGGCGTCGTTCTCTGTGCTGTGGTCAGGATACGGGTGAAGTTCTCAGTAGAGTTCTGCTTCCTGATTTGCAGTGTGATTAATGTGGGCGAGCAGATTTCTGGGGTTGAAGGATGAAGGGCCTTCTCGGCTCATCCAGAAATGGTCAAGACCCTTCCTGGGAGCTTGGATGTAGTGGATGGGGATCTTTCCAGCGGGCAGGTTTTATTTTTTATTTTATTTACTTATTTCATTTGTTGGTCAAGAAGGTATGAAAAAAACAAGTATAAGTATGAACATAACATACTGTGATGACCCAAAAGGGTGTGGCACAAAAGCAACAAAGTCACAAAAATGGGCAAAGTCCCTTTAATTCCTCCAACTTGGCCCCCAATGTCCAGTTATCATCTACTGGAAAATTTTTTTTCCCAAGAACAGTTTTTAAAGGGAAGAAATTCAGTTCGAACCCAAAGTACATACTTTAAAGCCTCCAGTTTAAGTATCTTTATCAAATTTCAAAAAACAAATGTTAAGATTCAAGCTAACATAAAGGAGGGAAAAGGGAGGAGAATAAGACAAGTTAAAAAGTGACAAAAGAAATCTGTTCCAAATGCAAGACACAAGCAGAGGGGAGGAGTTTCAGTTTCAGTTTCACAGCAGCATTCAGCTTTAGTACAGAACAGTTGAGCTAAGCCACGCCCAGGCTCCTTGCTGTCTCCTTGCTCACACAGCAAATACTGTTTCAGTTTCCAAACAGCCCTCAACTCTCACATGCTGACAGGATGCTAGCCAGATGAATACCAATGGATGCTGGCAGGCAGAGACAGAATCCCCCCCCCCCCATTTTTTTTCCTCCCCCAAAACTAATCCTGGCCACATAGTTTTGTAGCGAAGCATGGGTGAAGAGCTAGTATTGAATAAATCAATAAATACCCAGATATTTACTGTAACAAGCATGACCCCTCCATCCTTTTCCTCCAAAGCCACATGGGAAATGCAACTTGGGGTCTTGGAGCTTAAGTGATATGGGATCAAAGGAAGGTCCCATTTATTTTATTTTTTTGGGGGGGGAGATGATGTTCAAAACCTCCCATCAGTTGCACCTGCCACCTGGGCTGCACCTTTCACAGGTAACACACGTAATATTTTATAAGATTTCTCCATTGCCTCCAGAGGGTGGATTTTTTGGTCTCTGCTGACTGATTATCTCCTAGGCTGGGACAGTGGGCATCTCATGGGGGCAAAATCTCTAGGCCAGCAGCCTGCAGGAATCTAAGACCTGTGCTAGACCAGGGATGTCCAACCTTGGCAACTTTAAGTTGTGTGGACTTCAACTCCCAGAATTCCCCAGCCGGCATGTGCTGGCTGGGGAATTCTGGGAGTTGAAATCCACACACCTTAAAGTTGCCAAGGTTGGACATCCCTGTGTTAAACCATGCTGAAGGCCCACCCCATCCCTGGTGCAGCCCTTGGAAGGTGGGGAGGACATAGCAGAGTCTGGTAGGGTTAAGTTGCAGAAATGCTGGAATGGGGGGGGGGCCCCCCCCGCGTTCCCCCCCCCCCCCCCCGCCCCTGTTGGCCCTGCCAGGGGGCATTGAGGTAGCCGATCAGAGAAGAAACTTTTATGATTCTCGCACACAGCTAGGATGTATTTGGAGAGCTGTTTTTCAAAAGGGGCGATGAAGAAAGTAAAACAAGTTCCTAGTCCTCATTGTCAAAAAAAAAAAAAAAGCACATGCTTTCTACAAGGAGGCGGGGAAGTGGGCGGGGCTACTTATAAGGCGGGGCTCTGAGAGGGCGGCTCTGTGCCAGTGGTTTTCATCCTCAGCCGCTTTTAAGACGTGTGTACTTCAACTCCCACAATGCAAGCGGATTCGCTGGACCCAAGGGAAGGAGTCTATTCTGTCCCAGCAAGGCCGGCTGAGGAATGCTGGGAGTTGAAGTCCCAACCCGTCTTAAAGTGGCTGAAGTTTGAGAAACGCTTCGATTTTCACTGCGCACGCGTACTCCGTGTGCTCCGTAGGCAAAACCTAGAGCGGGAAAGGAAGTTGGCGCCTTCAGCCGGAAGTTCCCTTCGCTTTGCTTCTTCCGCTTCCTTTTTCCGGCTTCCTCTTCGTCTCCAGCCTCCGCAGACATGGCGGCCTTCGAGCAGATGCGGGCGAGCGTCGGGAAGCTGCTGAAGGGCATCGACAGGTATTTCTCCCCTTCCCCCCCAAAGCGGTCCCCGGAGCTTTGAAACCTTCAGCTAGGAACCTCAGGAAGCTTTGTGGGAGGATGGCACTCTGCTCATGCTCAGGAACCCCACGTCTCCGCCGGACTGGCAGCATTTCTGAGTCTCCTGCATCTCCTTTTAGCTTGAAAAATGGGATTTAGGGAGGAGAAACCGGGATGGGGCGGAAGGAATTAGTCAGCTTCCCACTTTTTATAGTCATTATTGGATTTTTAAATCAAACGGATTTAATCAGCTTCCCAGTTTTTATAATTATTAGGAATTATCTATTTCCCAGTTTTTATAACCATCATTAGATTTTTAAATCAAACGGATTTAGTCAAATCAAATCAAATATTTATTTTTCAATGCACGCAACATGTGTATAATGAAATTGAAATGAGCCTCCCTTGGTGCAGCCACCCCCCCCCATAAAAACACCACAAAATATAACTCAATAAACGAAAGAAATAGAATTCCTAAACCCAAACAAGTTTTTATAACTATTAGGAATTCGTCTGCTTCTCAATTTTTATAGTTATTCGATTTTGCAATCAAAATGGGGGGTTCTGCCTTTCTCCACCACTTGCTTTCAGGCGGTTGGAAAGGGGACCACCTAGAGATCCCTGGAGAGGTTGAAGCGGGGGTGAACTGATCCTCCACTTGATCAAACAGACCCTGGGCTTCCTTTCTTGCATTTTGCCTTGGGACACATCCAACTTTCTCAGTCTTAAATCCATTTTAAAAAGTGTCCATGAAAAAAGACCCAAAACAAGATGGATTGACTTGTATTGTGGGACCAATTGGCAAAGGCCGTATTGGTTAGGAAACATGCAGTAGAGGAGGCCTCCTTCATCCTGCAGTGGCCGCTAGACAGTGGCTAGAAGGATGAAATCAATTTCAGTGTTAATATTTCAAATAAGTGATGCCTGGAAGTCTTAAGAAACCGCTTGTCACTGGTCACCTCTACCTGCATCCATTGGTCCTTAGGACGTCCTTCCTGACAGCTGCTCCATCTTTTCCTGAATTTCAGATACAACCCAGAAAATCTTGTCACTCTGCAGCACTACGTGGAGACCCAGGCCAAAGAGAATGCCTATGACTTGGAGGCCAACTTGGCTGTGCTCAAACTGTGAGTTGCTGATCATTTGCCGCTTTTACACCCTTTCACAAAGCATCGAAGGCAAGACCTGGAGATCCAGAAGTGGGATGGAGCCCATTCTGCTGACTCAGTTGGTGGTTGTTGGCAAGAGGGTGAAAGGAGTTGTTGCTTTTTTTCATTGTTGCTGTTTTAGTCTTTTATCTCTGTAAATGGCCTGGAGTCAATGAGAGTTTGAGCAGCCATCTAAAATTTCTTAAATAAATTCTAAGGTAAGGGTGCCAAACTTGAGGCCTGCGGGCGAAATCTGGCCTGCAGAGTGCTTAGATCTGGCCCATGGGGGTCACCTTGGAAACCGCAAAGGACCAGCCTGCGGCCAGCGAAAACGGAGCTCATGGGAGGGCGGCACGCAGCCCCGGGCTCCGTTTTGGCTGGCAGAGTCCTATCAAAACAAACTCCAAAATGAAACAAAAGGAGAAATGTTTTCCCTTTTACATTTGAGCATGCAGGAAGGGACGGGAAAGGAGAAAGGGAAAGAGAAAAGACAAAGAAAAAGAAGGAAAGAGGGGAAGGAAGAAGAAGAAGAACGGTGAATGAAGAGGGAAGGAAAAAAGAAGAAAAGAAAGGAAGATTATAATAGCAATAGCACTTAGACATATATAATGTTTTACACTGCTTTACAGCCCTCTCTAAGCGGTTTACAGAATCAGCCAAAATGAGGACAATTTGGGGTCCTCATTTTACCCACCTCGGAAGGATGGGTCAACCTTGAGCCTGGTGGGATTTGATCTGCCAAATTGCAGTAGGAGTAGCTTGCAGTACTGCACTCTAACCACTGTGCCACCGAGGCTCCATAATGAGAGGGAGGGTCTGAGGGAGGTCCTGCCTTAGCACTTGGCCACTACAGGTGCCCCCGACACGAGTAATGTCGAGCTGGCCACGCCTATCCCCACCCCACCCACATCCCCGGAGGTCAAGCGTGACCCTGTTGCAGCCCTCCATGAAATCGAGTTTGACACCCCTGTTCTGGAAGGAGAAATCCTGAAATGCTGTGCTTTCATGTTGGGCTTCCTGCACAAACTTGTCAGGTTGTGATCTCGCCATCCTTTTCTCCTCTAGGTATCAGTTTAATCCTAACTTATTCCAGGTCTCGGTGACTGCCCAGATTCTCCTCAAAGCACTGACCAACCTGCCTCACACGGACTTCACGCTCTGCAAGTGCATGATTGACCAGGCTCGCGTATCCTCTTTGTACTCTAGGATAACTTCCCCCCAAATCCCATTTTAGGACTTGAAGCCTCCCACCAGGCACAGCTCACCAGGAAAAAGTCTAGACTTGGGCACTTTAAGACTGGTGGACTTCAACTCCCAGAATTCCCCAGTCATCAATACGTAGACCAGAGGTCCCTAAACTTGGCCACTTTAAGACTTGTGGAGTTCAACTCCCAGAATTCCTCCTCCAGTCACGTTAGCTGAGGAATTCT